AAAAAAAAAAAAAAGAAATAACCCAAACCCACTTCCTGGCCCTGCTAAAGTTTCTGTTTAGCAAGAAAAAGTTTTAGTGTGACAGAGAGGAGCTGACAGATGTGAGACTTATGCTTTTAATTCCTTAACGATTCCTTTCCACTACAGTTCACCAAACAGATACATGTTGCTTGGATCCGGTGACCGCACTGCTGGCAGCAGGTGTCCAAAGCAGCAGTGGCGTGATTTTACGGAGAAAAGGGTGTGGCTGTAGGAAGCGAGAATGGCCTTCTAGAGCAAAGAGGACGCCAGGACCCCGAGATCATCCCGGCACCTCTGTCAGTGCTGCCACTGGTCTGGGAAGGAAGGTGCTGCTGACCAGAAGTCTAGCGGGCCTTGCTAGGCGGGTATGCTGCAGTGCAGACTTCCCTGGGGAGGCTGTGCCCCCGCCACACAAGCCCACCACCATCCTCAGGGAGCACGGAGGCCAGCAGCAGAAACCCCACCGCACGCTGCTGAGTGCAGCCCATGGAGCCCAAGGAGGCCGCCTTGAACTGGCCTCGGGGTCACTGGGAGGAAGGGCCATTCACAGCACAGGAAGACCATTCAAGCCAGAACGTGCCCCAAAGTCTCCACTCACTGCTGCCACTCAAGAAGGTGCTGAGAGCCTGGTCAGTGCTGTCAAAAAACCAAGCGAGAGATGGAAGAACAGGAAGAGAGGGGACAGACTTTTTGTCGGCAGACAGAATAAAATTTCTGCATGGATTTTCCAAGAGAATCTACAGGCAAACTATTAGAACCAACAAGAATTCCACTAGGTTGCTGTACAAGACCAAGAAACAGAAATTTCATAAGGCTCCTCAGCTGTAATCCAGGAAGCATCACAGTTAAGGAAGCATCATGTTGGAAACACCATGCTGAGGCCTCTCATCAGACCTGTCACTGGGAGCCCACCCTGCAGGGGTGGCTGGCTATACCTGCAACTCCTTGTCAATTTCAAAGCATGGCCCTCCCAGCAGGACCATAAACTGACCAATCCCTGCAAGCCACTCAATCCTACTGGGTGATTTTTGCACCACTATTTGCATACCCAATTGACCAATCCCTGCTAGACGCATCAAACTGACCAATCACAGGGCAGATTGCAGCCTAGAACCAGACAAAATGATCAAACCATCAGGATGTTTACAGCTGATCCAGGAAACGCCAATCAAGTTGAGGAATTCCCTGGACAAAAGTAATAAAGCCTCTGGGATAGAAAACAACCTGGGAGCCCTGCCTCCCCCACCTGCCTCCCCTCCGTTGCTTCAACAAAGAACTAAGACAAAGGTAACTCCTCAGGACTTTGGGGGAAAAATCTCCCAAGTTGTTTTTCCGAAGAGCCAAGTAAGAGGCCACATAAAGGAACTCACATTGCTACAATGCCCACCTTCACCCTCACTGTCCTCTGAGTTTCTACGTCCTCTCGTGTGGTGTGCAGAGGGCCCCGCTGAGCCTCAGAGGCCCTGAGCCCAGGGCTGTGATGTCACACATCAGCTGCATGACCTCGAGTGGGTGCTTACTTGTGCATTTTACCATCTGCAGAATAATCTGCAAACTTGTACTCACTTCACAGGGTTGCTGGAAGGATCAGCAGAGACTATTCTGTGAACTCCCCAGCACAAGACAACACACTCACACACACACTCACACACGCTGCCACCCCCCACCCACCCATCCACATTCACACATACTGCCCCCCCCCCCCAACAGAGTCACAGCCCAAGGCCCACACAGGGCCTCAGGGAAACTGCAGAGACAATGTGTGAGGGTCGGGGACAGTCAGGATGCACCTGGCACAGGTGCGCCTGTGTGGTAGAGAAGGGCGGGTGAGGACTGGGAGTCACTCACAGGGGGGCAATGAAGAGGAGGCCTTGGCTTTATTCTGAAAGAGGAATGGCTCAGCAAGGCATGGGGCTGGCAGTGCAGCCAGGGGCAGTGCAGCCAGGGGCTGGAAGACAGGCTGGGACAACATACATACATGGGCATCCAGCTGGGAGTGAGACCTGAGGCGGCTTTGTGAGCAGCTCAAATGTGTGCACTCCATGGGCCTGCTCTGGCCCATAGTCGCCACGCCTGGGTCAGGCAGCGCAGGACAGAGGAGGGATTGGGGAGAGGCCTGTGGGTCAAGACATAGCCTCACTGTGTGGGGAGGACAAGCCAGGACTACTCACGCTGTCGACGGCGAGGATCTTGGCCCATATGAAGACCAGGAGGGGCCGCAGCTCCCGGGCTGAGCTCTGAAGCAGCTTGAGCACATAGGGAAAGATGCCGACAGACAAGGCCTGAGGGAGAGAAGAGTGTGAGAAGCTTCCTCTGGACGCCTCATCACAGTGAGGATGGACCACAGTGAGGATGGAGGGACGATGGAGGGCACCAGAGCCTTGGCCCGCGTGGGCGAGACAGGACACGCCTATAGCCTTCCCTCCGGAGGCCCCCTGCAGGGAGGACAGAGGGCACCAGAGCCTTGGCTCACGTGGGCGAGACAAGAGACGGGACATGCCTATAGCCTTCCCTCCGAGGCCCCCTGCAGGGAGGACGGAGAACCATAGCCTTGGCCCGCGTGGGCGAGACAGGCCGGGCTGCAGACTCATTCATCCCTGATTTTATTCCTGGGCCTTCCTGGGCCTGACTGGTCCAAACAGACCAGGATGATACCGCAGCAGCGTCTCCTCCTGAGGGACAGGTTGCGTCACCTGGCGAGTCTCACCCGTCCCCACCAGCACGACCACTCGCAGCTCTGTGTCGAGGCTCGTGGACCAGAGCCGGGTCTCCATCACTCATGGAGTCTCTGGGCCGGGGCTCGCGGACCGGACCAGAGCCGGGTCTCCATCACTCGCGGGGTCTCTGGGCCAAGGTTCACAGAGCAGAGCCAGGTCTCCATCACTTGTGGGGCCTCTGGGCTGGGGCTCGCGGACCAGAGCCAGGTCTCCACCACTTGTGTCTCCAGGCCGGGGCTCACAGACTGGAGCCAGGTCTCCATCACTCATGGCGCCGCCTGTCCCACTGAGGGAGAAGCCGACCAGCTGACGAGCACAGGCGGGAGCTCCAATGCCCTCATTTGCAGCAGCAGGGACCTCATCCTCGGGGCCTCTCTGCTCTCAGGGCAGGAGGTGACAGGGAGGTGGAGTCCCAGGGTGAGAGCCACAGGCAGCCTGGCTGCTCTCAGCCCTTTCGCTATGTGCTTATCTGATTCCTCAGACCTAAAACCACAGCACGTCCTCCAGTAATGGGTCTCCCATGATGGGGACCAGGAAGTGCAGGACCCAGGATGGCCAACACCTGCCTGGTCACAGCCTTGCTCTATGGTCACGCTTAACAGGAGCTAACGCTCACTTCTCTGGTTCAGGCTGTGAGCCCTCAGCCAGCAGCTAAAGCTGTGTCCGGAACCTCACCTCTGTGTTTCCTTGCCTTCTTAAGGGGCGTAACTGATACGCTAAGCATTTCTATGGTGACTAAGTCATGGAGCCGTGCACACATGCACACACATACACACACAGAACGGAGGAGTCACACCAACATGTCACCTGTGACTCTGCTGTGCTGGAAGCTGTTCACAGGCACCAAGTGATGGCGTCTCACACACACACACACACACACACACAAGAATGGGGAGTCACACCAACACGCTGCCCATGACTCTACTATGCTGGAAGCCGTTCACAGGCAGTAAGCAATGGAGTCGCGTGCATATGCTCAGTGGTTTAGCTATCTGGCATTTGTTCCACATTCCCAATCAGCACACGCCTAACTCCTTAAAGGGCCACATTTGCTTTTAAAAATTAACCAAATAAATAAACATCTTCCAAATAAACACGTTAATGTGTGTTTCCTTGCCTTCTTAAAGAGTGTAACCAATACGCTAAACGTTACTACGGTGACTAAGTCACGGAGTTGAGTGCACACGTGCACATACACACACATACGAACAGAGGAGTCACACCAACAGGTCGCCCGTGACTCTGCTGTGCTAGAAGCTGTTCACAGGCACTAAGCAATGGAGCTGCATGCACACACACATGAACAGAGGAGTCACACCAACAGGTTACCCGCGACTCTGCTTTGCTGGTAGCTGTTCACGGGCATAAGCAATGGAGCTGCGTGCACACGCGCACACACACATGAACAGAGGAGTCACACCAACAGGTTGCCAACGACTCTGCTTTGCTAGAAACTGTCCACGGGCACTCAGATACAGAGCCAGCATTGCTCTTCCTCATTGTCGGATTTTCTGTCTCCTCCTCCAATGTCAAACTATAGATTATCGCTCTCTGTCAACAGTACATAATGGAGAACTCAAATACGCAAACACACAGAGCAGTGATGCAGTGAGCCCTAGCTCCCAGCACCAGCTCAAGCTCCACACGGCTGTGTTTTAGCCCCACCTGCTTGCCCTGCCCTGTCATACTCTGAAGCAAATCGCATACGTTCCATAATGTCTACATTTAGTGCATATCTCTGAGAAATAAAGTCTCTTATAATAACATAACCACAATACCATTACCATACCTAAAAAAACCCAACATTTACTCTTCAATAATGCCAAATATCCTGTCACTGTGAAATTCCCAGTGGTCCCGAGTGTCATTTTACGGAACGTGAATGTTTTGAATCTTACTTGCAAACAGAACCATGTGAGAACCACACCCTGCAGTTGGCGGAGATGGCGCTGTGGTCTCTTCTGACCTACAGGCTCCCTCTTGAGCTCCCTTTCATTTTCCTTGCAATTTGTTTGCTGAAAAAACTGATCATTTCCTGGTTCTACTGCTGTCATTCCCTACTCCCCCATCTTAAATGGACAACTGTACCCAGAAAAGTGTTTTGTAATCGTGTCTAAAATAAGAGGAGAAAGACAGTGGATGAGGACTGATGGAGTCCTGGAGAGAAAGTGCCCCCAGGTGGTGGGGGACATGGCCCGGCTCAGGGCTGTGTGGTCCCTGGCACAGGTGGGAACATGCTCACAAGCTCCTTCCTTCATGAGAGAAACAACAAACACTCCAATGGCCTCCCTCACCCCCAGGCTCTCCCCTCCCCGAGGCACACACCAGGCTCACCGCCCAGGGACCCAGGTCCAGAAATCTTCCCAGCAAGTCCAGGGCTCGCAGCCGGTGCACTTGGCTTAACAGCACCTAGGAAGATAGAAAGAAGGCTGCATCTTTGCAAAACCACCCGGACCTGATCCCTCTGTGCAAGCTCCCACTGCGCGCTTTGGGATGTCAGTCTGCCCAGAGAAAGTGAGATTTGTTCATTTTGACCTAAAGCGGGTGCTCGCTTGCACACAACTCCTGCTTTTACACCCTTCTCCCCACACAGGTAAAACACATTCACCATGCACAGTATCAGGACACACACTTTCCTACTGCGCTAGAAAATAACTCAATGAGGACACTTTGGATCTAAACGTCCAGGTGTTTTAAGTCCACGTCTCTCTTGCTTTTTCTAAACTGAAATATAACCTTATTTCTTGTCATCTTTGTCAGCTGGAGCACACACTGAGACTACACTGATGCCAGGTGTGCCCTGGCCAGTCACGCACACAGCCCAGTGCTGCGTCCACTCGTCCAAATGCCCTCCCCACTGCTGGATACTGCATGAGAGGTTAAATTCTACAGCACTTGGGGTTGTGGAAGGCTGTGGTCTGCAGTGGGAACCCTAACTCCATTGGAAGGCTTGACATATGTTCCAGATGCCCTTTGGGTTCTTTCTGACCATAACCAGCATTGTGGCTGTGCACAGACAAGTCCCAGGACCAACCCAGGGTGGCCTGTTCACCTTCAGAAGTGGTTGAAAGCAGATTGCGCTCACAAAGAACCAGAGAACTTGCCTGCGGACGTTCTTTTCTAACTTAAGGTTGGGGTTTTGGTATCATTCGGGAGCCAGGTAGCCACCCTGTGGCTAAGACTCAGGCTGTGTGGTCATGAGTCACAGCCTATCCGGACCACCACCGAGCCAGGGAGTCAAGCCCAGAACCAATCAGAACCGATCTTCCCTGTCTTCAAATCCCAGTCATGGTCTTTTGCTTGCTTCGGTAGCTCTGCCTGTAAGTGATGACTCCATCCACCACCAGCCATGATTCTGTGATGACTTAAAATCATGGACAATTAGCCCCACGGACATGACCCGGCCGACTCCATTCAGCTTCTCGGGTGATGGTCTCCCTCATCCAGGATGACTGTTTTGTCTTTGTTTTCTCCAAGGCTTAATGAAAGTGTCTCTATTGAACCTATTTGAACTTGGGGTCTCTTTTCCCCTGATACAGTACTTAGGTTATGATCACATTTTACTCTCATGAATAACGCTGTGACAAACGTCCCAAAGGCACACCTTTGCACATGGCGACTTCCCAGGATCAATTCCGGGAGTGAAACCACAAGCCCACAGTGGGTATACTTACATTACCAAATGACCCTCCAGCTAAACCAGTTTCCACTCCCAGCCAACTTTTGGGGATGCTGTGCTTGTACATCTGACGGGGCTCTGCAGCCCACATGCTGCCCACTGGCTAGGGGACCTCCAGCAGACTCTTAACACCTCAGAGCCTTAATGTCTTCATTCATAAAACAAGGATATCATGGTAAGACCTGCAAGCGTTTTATTAAGTTAAACACCAACTGAAAGCTCCCAAAGCAAGGCCAGCCCTTATTAAACTATCATTCTTTCCACCTGGTAGGTGGAAGCAAAGCCTGCCTTGAATCCTAGTTTCTTTGCTTATGACTGCAGCTGAACAATTTTTCCATTGGTTAACTGGTGATTTTGCTAGTATATTAGCCATGTATGCCCAGACCATTTTTCTACCACTATGTGAATGATTTTTTCTTATTGGGATGAAATAGAACAGTGTTTACCATGCATGTTGCCTATTTTTCTTTTACTGTGTTATTTCAGGGTCTTAAGCTCGATGACATCACCTTTGTTGACCTTTTCCTTTATGTCTTTTATACTCAAGGGCAATTCTGTGCTTCGTCCTTCTGACCCCAAGCATTCCACCACGATGTCTCTGTGGGACAAGTTTTCATGAGGTGCGTGCTCTGTGCCAGTGCAGGTGCTAGGGCCCCCTGAGGGACAGCAGGGCTTTGCCGGGAGGTTCAGGGATCTTGATCTATTGATCCAGACACCAATGACAAGGACTAGCGGAAAAGCTACCAGTATTTGTCATTTTCAACATTACATCTTTCCCATTTCTTCTGTTGATTTACAGTTTTACAAGGCCGAAAGGACATCCACGCTGAAAAAGCAAGCTTATTTCCACGTTACATTTATATGTAGGACTGCAAACTGACTGGGCCTGAGGGGTCACTTGTATCTGGCCCTTGATGGTCACCCTCTAATGCCGTTGCACTTGTGAGTGGAGAGAATTCTCTTTGGCACTCGGCAAAAGAGCAGGGAGTCTCTTTATCCCTTATGAACATTTTCTGACGTCCAAGGCACGGGAGAACAGGTCACGGACAATAGGGCATGGCTGCTGAGACAAAGCGTGGAGCAGTTGGCTGAGGTGATGAGGAAACATGCAGTGGGGAGGGCTGCACCGTGTGGCCCAGCACCCCTTCACCCACACCTTATTGTCCTGTTCAGGAATGGCTCAGCACGGATCCAGGCAGGCATGGCCCGAGGCAGCCCACCAAGGTGAGGAAGTGCTGCTTAGAGGACTGTGCAGAAACGCCTACCTTGTCTCCTTCCAGAGCTGTGGCTTCAGAAACTTGGCTTCACTAGGTCTCCTCTTCCCTGAGGAAGTGTGGATTGTAAATGGAACATTAAAAACAAGTCAACAGAAGGCCTTGTACAAGAGGTCCATCTGCCAGGCTGTGGAGACCTGGATATCCGCGCTGGAGGCATCCCTGCCACAGCCAGGCCAGGGCTACTCGCTCAGGGAGTAGGGGGCAGGGGCTGTGGGAAGAGGGCTGTAGTCTCTGCTGGTGAGCCTCGGGGCAGTAGTTACTCAGGAGGAGCCGTGGTGCACAGCACACCTTACCTGTGTCCCTGGACCCTGAACTCCTGCCACCACCTGGCAGCTGGTCACCTGGCCCCCTTCCCACCCCTGCAGAGCACCTGTCTCTCTGTTTAGTTCACTTGTTTATGGTTCACCCTGCAGTCGCAGCATTGTCCTTAACCAGAAGCACGAAGGAGAAACAGTAGTGGTTTCTGTGGGTATGAGTTACTGCATCCGGGAGGTTCATCCTTTCTATCACATCAGGAAAGGAGTGCTGATGCTGACGACACGGAAACTGTACCAGCGATCCCTGGCGTGACATGCCGTGGCAGGACACCACTCTGCCCAGCCACAGGTCACCGAAGTGAAGACAGGCAGGGCTGCAGCTCCCTGGCCTGTCCGGACCTTTCCCCTCAGCTCCTCCTCCTGCGGTCTGAGGCCTGGGGCCGAGCCTGAGCAGGGGAAGCCTCAGCTCTGTCAGCGAATCACCTCCAGAGCTGATGTGCAGCTGAGGGTGGTCCGCACAGAGGACCACGCCGCCTCCAGGCAGGGCACTCAGTGCCTCTTGGAAGGGGCAGCTGCTGAGAGGGGAGCCCTGGCCTTGCAGAGAGGTGGGCAGGGTGCTGCTGTCTGCCGTGGGGTTGGCAGCCTTAGTGGGAAAGCCCACCCCTGCCCTGGCAGAAAGGGGAGCCATGTCTGTGTTGGCAGAGATGAGATGCACGTTGTCAATCAGAGAGGCCAAGCCACCCCTCAGGAGTCAAGCTCCCAACCTGGAGGTGAGCCTACCCACTCCAAACCGACACGGACATGGAGGGTGCAAAGGGTTCCCACCCTTCTTTCTGTGGGGGGCCGCTCCCCCAGTGTCCACAGTTCTGACCCAAGTTCAGCCACCTCCCATTACACAGAATGTTTTCCAGGTGCCCCAGTGAGCTGTGAGGCCTTGGTGTCCACAACGACGTCCAGAGTGGGATGCCTTTGCCATGTCACGACACAGTGGGCGCAGCTCCCCCCAGACACGCTCTGGCTGAAGTGAAAGCTTCGTGTCTCCCCAGTGTCACTCCCTGTGGTGGACCCACAAATCCACCCCCAACCCACCGATGGGCCTCGAGCTACAGTCATGTGGCCATGACACCTGCTTACACATCCAGGTTTTCAGAGTGGCCACCACTGTCCATACTTCAGGAAGAGGAAGAGGCAGGGCTTTGGGTCAAAGGTGCTGGCTCGCATGCTTCAGGCCCCATCCCAAGGGGTCCGTGTCCTCACCCTTCTCTCCCTGGTTATGCTGGGTGCCTATCCTGCAACAAAGCTCTATAGCAGTGGTAACGAGCCCTTCTTCCCTGGTGTGTGGTCACCGAGTGCTGGGGAGGGTGGCTGATGGCAGCACTTACATGGAATTGGGGGCGGGGTGGGGAGTCCTTCAGTCCTGGGCTCTGACTGGATCCGCGGGACCTGTCTATCCAGCACCACGTGGCCCGAGTACAGCTGCCAGTGGAGGGAGCTGGCAGCCCGCACACACAGTCCTGGGTCAATGGCTCCCTCCTCAAAGGCCACGCTCAGCCCATCAGCTGGACCGAAGACACTCACCTGCAGGACAATGGGCAGCTGCTCAGGGGGGTTCCTGTTCTCCACGCCCATGGTGAGCCACACCTGGAATGCAGTCAGCTGCTCGGCAAAGAAGGGGCTGTGCTGTGGGACAAGCATGGGTGAGTTAGGGATGACACAGCCACGTCCCCGTCACCCAACAGGCTCGACAAAGCTCAATGGATGACAGCAATCCAGGGGAGCAGGAAAGGCTGGGCTACCGTGGGGTGGCGGGCACTGACTCCCAGCGGCCTCTGAAGGTCAAGCCAGCAGGACTGTGACCAGACTGGAGTAGAGGCATCCCTGGTAGTGCAGACGGTGAAGTGCCTGGCTATTGAGTAGCTCCAAAGCTGGAACTGTGGACTCTCTACAGGCGCCTCGGAAGAGAGGCCGGGGACCTGCTCCTAAAACAGCACAGTGGTGAGCTCCGTGGACCACAGTGTGGCCCGGCATACACGGTGTCGCCGCGAGGCGGAGCGATCTGATAGCAGTGATCCGGTTTAGGGGTAAGAGAAAAAGAGGGCGTCGGGGATAATCTGGGGTTCTCGGCTGATGCAGCTGGAGGTACGGTGCCAGGGAAGATGGCATCGTGACGTGGCTGGAGGCGAGTGCTGGGGAAGACCGTGGGACACATGTTCGGAGGAGGATACTGGAAATGGACGCATGTTGGGAGAGTATCAGGAATGGGGTATAATGCACACTGAGCTCCAGCTGCCAATCAGACCTCCAAGGGAGGCCATCAAGCAGACTGACTGAGAGATGGTGGTGGGACGGACTTCTGGGCTGGGGGACACATTTTGGAGGCACCAGCACATAGATTTTTCTTTTAAGTGGGAAGAAGGGATGAGTTCAAGCCCTGGGCACGTCAAGGCAATGAGCCAGCACAGCAGGGAAGGCAAGCAGGCGACCCAGTGGCCTGGGGACCGAGGGCAGTGTACAGGGAGGAGGAGAGACCACAGGGTCCTACATGGACCTCACCAGCTCAGTGAGGACCAAGCGGACTGGACCATTCGAGGTGGCAACAAGGCAGCGTCGGTGACTGTTAAAAACGTCTCAGGGCCATCGTGGGTACGAGAGCGTGACTGAGGGTCCACAGGAGAAACGCCTCCAGTCTGAGGTGGGGGCAGGTCTGAGGCGGGAGGGCTCACAGGGAAGAGTGTGTGGAGACTCAAGGGCAGACACTTCTTGAAGAAATTGGGCTGCGAAGGGGAAGGAACGGCAGGGTGGCTGCTGGAGGGAAAAGTGCCATCAGGCGTTTCTTTAAAGTGGATGAATAATGGCCCGTTTGTCAGCCGGTGGGAAAGGTCTAGCGAAGAGGAAACTGATGTTGGGGAGACAGGGGCTGCTAGAGTGAGGTCCGGGGTGGAGCTGGCCTGGGTGCTCTCCCGGGTGCCAGAGAGAAGAGGCGCCGAGACGTGGGACACGGCTGGACATGGCTGGACGTGACGGCAGAGTGTCTTTGTTCACAGTGAAACAGGAGGCTGGACTATGGGTGGGGACTGAGAGGAGGGCATGGGGTTGATGGGGAGGGGACTGAGCACACACATGGTCAGGTCCCAGCAGCCAGGCTTTCAGGGGGTGAGCACAGTGGCGTTTACAGCTGAACACACAGAGGGGCCTGGGTACGGCTCAGCTCAGACAGGCAGACGTAGCCAGAGCTGAGCAGCGGGTGGACAGGAGAGGAGAGTGACAGGCAGGCATGACCACAGCACCTGACCATGGACACAGGTGAGGGGGATGGGACAGGTGGAGGGTCCGCTAGGATGTAGGTGGGTGGGGGATGGGACAGGTGCTGGGCTTTGCAGGCTCAGGAAGGACACTGGGTGAGCTGGGTCGCTGTGAAGGTGCATTTGTGCTCACCCCAAGGGGAGGTCTTCTGGCAGTGACGAGGGCCAGGTAAATCATAGAAGGTGTGGTACAGGAGGGGGGTAAGGTGGTTGGAAGAGGGCCTGGGCAGTGAGCCCCAAATTCAAAAGTGATCAATCTCCTGCCCCTCCTCCTTCCTGCCTCATTCTTTTGAATTAAGCTTCTTGTTAATTTCCAAGGGGACAGTGGGCATGTGTGTAAGGAGGGACCCTCTTCTTGGCTGGGCAGGGCAGAGGGTGCTGAGGGATCTGAGGCAGGGCTGAGGTGCGGGCGTTGGCAGGGCCAACGACACCGCAGAGTGCTCATGTCCCCCTCCACCGAGGGGCCCTCCATGAGAACGCCAGTGTCACGTGAGGCCCCAGCAGAGCTGTTCACACACAAGGGTGTGTGATCCCGCAGAGTCGGCGGAAACGGAAACGTTCGTTGAGCAGAGGGCGGCCTGCTGAGCTGGAAGGGAGCCCCTGAGGTGATTTTCCATCTTTAGGGTTACCTCAGCCATAAAACGGCTTTAGCAAGTCCCCTTGTCACGGCGCCCCCATCGTGCGAGAATACAGATGAGTGGAGTTGGGGGAGCCCTTGAGCTGCCCGTGGAAGGCAGGCAGGCCAGCAGCCCCGACAATTAAACCCCCTGCTTTTCCGATTGGTTTCTGCTGGCGGAGTCTCACGTTGTCAGGGTGAAGGAACTACTCAACACTGAAGGGAAGGCACATTCCTGACCCTTCCACCCAAAACTGCCCAAGAAGGTGCATCCTGCCAGTGAGCACACTGAGGGACTGAGCAGCTCCTGAGACCTGGGGACCATCTGTATCAGAAAACTCCAAACTACTGCCATCGAGTCAATTCCAATTCTCAGTGACCCTGCCGGGCTTCCAGGCTGTAGATCTTGATGGAGGCAGAATGCTCCATCTTCCTTCCACGGACAGGCTGGGGGTGCAAATCACTGCTCTTTGGTTAGTAACCATTAACCACTGCACCACCAGAGCTCCTGGGATTAGAGAACACCAACATTCAATGATACTCCTCATTAGAAGGTCCTGACAGCTGCCCGTGTCAGCTGCCCATGACTCACCATGCTGGAGCCTTGGACAAAGCAGGGGTCTTCTCCAAGATTACCCCAGTAAGGGTGTCAGAACCACCCTGCAGATTCTTGGGGAGACATGGCGCACATCATGGTGGTGGGGCGAATGCATGCATCCTGTAGGTGGTGGACCCGAGTCCTGCAACCTTGCCACAATCCGGGTCTCCAGGACAACCCTGATTGAAGTGCTCTGCTCTGTGGGGTCCCTGTGTTAGATGACTCAGCCTTCCAAAGGTGGGGGCTGGATTCAATGGGGAGTCCCTGGTGGCACTGAAGTTAGTGCTTGACTGCTAACTGAAGGGCTGGAGGTTTGAGCCCACCCAGACACACCATGAAAGAAAGGCCTGGCAACCAATTTCTGGAAAACCACCACCGGAACCCTAGGGAACCCTGAACTAGAACTCCCTGCCGTCGAGTCAGAGCCAACTCACAGCAACCCCTCGCTGGGTTTCCGAGGCGGTATCTCCATGGAAGTAGATTGCCCAATCTTCCTTCTAAGGAGTGGCTGGTGGGTTTGAACCACTAGCCTGGTTAGCAGTCAAATACCTTAGGCACTACCCTACCAGAGCTCCCTATGGAGCACAGGGGGTACTATGAGTGGGAGTCGACTTCCAGATAACTCTTGTTGTGGTCTGTTTCTTGTTTAGTGCCCTCAATGTGTAAATGGTTAAGGTGCCTGGCCATGAGCCAGAGGCTGGAGGCTAGAGCGTTGTGGCCTGTTTCTTGTTTAGTGCCCTCAACGTGTAAATGGTTAAGGTGCCTGGCCGTGAGCCGGAGGCTGGAGGCTGGAGCGTTGTAGCCTGTTTCTTGTTTAGTGCCCTCAACGTGTAAATGGTTAAGGTGCCTGGCCGTGAGCTGGAGGCTGGACGTTGGAGCGTGCCCCAGGCATTCTGGAAGGACGACCTGCTGACCGCGTCCAGCACTGAACCAGCCACTGAGAACCACACGGGGAGGCCTCAGAGTCAGATCAAAGGAAACGGTGGTGGCAGACGTCTGCTGACCTGACAATGGGCAAGCAGAGCCTCAACGAGGTTGAAGGCAGAAGCCATGTTAAGCACTGGGGCCGTTCACCCAGACCACGTTCACCGCGGGGTCTGGGTGAACCCCGGAGGAGGACCCAGGTGACCCACACACACGACCCGCCTTCCATGGCCGTCCCTGACCCGAACCTCCTGCTGCCAGGCAGTGTCCTTCCTGACAGCAGCTTCATGCAACTGCTTTGTGACAAGCCCACTGGCTCCACAGAGGCCTCTTGAAGCAAGGAGACAAAAGACAGCTGTCAAGGGACTGAGAGTACTCAGCCTCCAACCAGCTGTGAGAATGCTGAGGCTGCAGAAGGCCTGCTTCTGCCCCCAGGGTAGTTCCTGATCCCAAGCCTCCTGCTGGGTATGGACCCCTCTTCTTCTCACCCCCTCCCTACATCAATAAACCCCAATTCTGATGGAGGCCCATGTCATTGCTAGTCACCACTCATCACTTGCAACTTGACTCTGGAGGAGTGACACAGCTGCTAGGCTTTCTTTTAGTGCATCTGAAGGTAAGGTTTTAGGACGAAGCCAGCACGTGTCACCCTTATGTGGCACTAGTGACAACACCAAGAAGTGGAAACAACCTAAGTCCCCATCAGCGGGGGATGAGCACCCAGAGTGTGACACATGCACACAATGGAATACTACTTGGCAACAAAGAACAATGAGTTCCCCGAACATCTTACAACGACGAACCTGGAGGTCATTATGTTGAGTGAAGTCAGTCAGTCACAAAACCCCCCAAACAGTATACATTCTTGCTTTTATGAAATGACACGAGTAGGTCAAGATACAGAAACTCACGTCAGTTAGTGCTTGCTGGGGATGGTGGGACTCATTCTCTAGACAGTAGAGACACCTGTTATTTTTGGTAATGGGTTTGTAGATGTGGAACATGTATGTATGTGTACAGGTGTACGCATATGTATGTGTATAAGCATGTATGCAGACACATGTGCACAGGTTTGTAGATGTGGAATATGTATGTGTGTGTATAGGTGTAGCCATATGTATGTGTATAGGCATGTATGCAGGCACATATGCGCACAGGTTTGTAGATGTGGAATATGTATGTGTGTGTACAGGTGTAGGCATATGTATGTGTATATTGATGCATGCAGACATGTATGTGC